GTACTATAGTTGTGTTCCATCACACGTATTTAGAACAATAAATCCCACACAGAAGGAACACAAATTGCAATGAATTTCTGCAAATTTCAGGACAATCAGAAACCATCTTTATCTGCTAAAGAGGAAATATACAAGGGGTTTCCATTCTTTGTTTAACTTTACGCCATTGTGAGAGTACTTTTTCAGTAATCAATTTTTTATGACTCAGGAAACACATACACGAACATCAAAGCTTATGAACATTACATAGAAAACATTCGTAGAACTAAATAAAAGGAGGAAACTGAGACAAGCACGCATACTGTATCTGGACTCTAAAAATGCAAACTAGTCACTGAAATTTTAAGACATTCTTCCAGTGTGTAAATAAATTAGACGAGGAACAAATTTTCTATAGAAGTTTACAGATCCTAAGACGCTTCTCAGGATCTTTTTAGATGTAGTTAACTTGAAATTTCGCAAGGCATCAATGTTTTCTAGCGAGGAGATAAGGAATTGTTGGAGATAATAAACATTAAGTACTGAATCTTACTATAACCAAGAAAAAATTTCTTGGGTTTCGCAGTGAGGCCATGATCTCGAAGACTATGTAATAGTCTTCGAGATCATGGCCTGCTGCAGTGTTCCTTCTTTCTTATGTTCTAATACAACAGGCCGTGTATAAAGATGCTTCTCCCACATAGATGCTACCAAAAGACTAAAACGTTAGGAAACTCACCTACAACTTTCCTGATCAAGCGTACATACGTGGCACTCGCCGTAACTAACCTGAAAGGCATGGTCCGGTATTGCATTAAACCTATAGGTGTCGGGAAGTCTGTATATTGTTTTGAGTCTGGATGGAGTAAGACGTGGTGATAGGCCTGTGTGATGTCTGTTTCCGAAAATAATCACAGTTTGAGAACTTGTGTAAATCTTCTATAATAGGCACTCCTTTTGCATCCCATTTGGATACAGCATTCAGACCTCTAAAGTCCTGTGCCAGTCAGCAACTCGGGTGATAAGGAATTGTAAATAATGGTTTAATACCCACAAGTTCGTAAAGTTAGGCTAACAGCTTCAAGGCAAACTCAGTACCTTGATCAGAGAGGACTGCTCCTGGTATACCCACTCGTAAAAATATTGATAAGAGGGCTTCTGCTACCTCTGAAGCAGAGATGGATTTAAGAGTTACTGTTTCTTGGAAACTAGTAGTATAGTCTGCTAACGTTAAAATGTATTTGTCCCCCCAGAAGAGGGTGGAGTCAGAAGGCTTACTATGTCGACTGCTACTCTCTCGAATGGAACCGCGAATATCGGCATCTTTACCATGGGTACTCTTCTAGCATCTCTTAAAGAAGAAAGCTGACATTGCTTACAGGACCTGTAATAATTAGTTATATCGCTTGACATTCCTAGCCCAAAATAAACACTTGAATCTTTAACCAGGTTTTTCTTTTTGAGAAATAACCAGATATAGGGAAGACATGCACTGTTTTGATCACTGTCTCATGGCACTGCCTAGGTATAACTAGAGCATTACTGCGTAGGTTATCTACAGTGGGACTTTAAATAGATTTTTGGAGAAAAGCGTCCGGATAGCAATATTTTAAGGCAACCTTTTTGTGGTATATGACTTTTTTCCACTAGAGGCTAAAGAAAGTCCCTCTTAGGAAGTTCAAGAAATTTAAAATCAAGGAAAACTAGAGGAAGAGTATTTTTCACCTTAGCTTGAGGTCTACTTAGAACATTAACGGTGTCAGAAAAATGCTCAGATTCACTCGGTCGTGGCTGAAAACTTTGGGTAGTAACATCCCCATCGGAGTTATTTTCTTCCACATCAAAGTCTTGAGATCTTTGATCCAAGGGGTTGAGAGTTGTAGATGTTATTAAAGATCCATTTGAAATAAAACAATTGGTCTTTAAAGGGAAGGTTGCACCTTAAACATTTCCAATGAACATGATTTGAGAGGCGAAACAACAGCGTTTACCTGGAGGGGTTCTCAGGGGTCAACGCCCAAGAGGCCTGGTCCGTGACCAGGCCTCACGGTGGATCAGGGCCTGATTAGGCATATAAAGTGCCGGAAGTCATTTTCTATGCCTGAAAGAGCAACCTTGGTAGCAGTGTTATGATGGAAGTTAGTAGGTTCCCCTTTTCCCCGATACTATCAAAGGCTGAAAAGTTACTACGTAATTCTTTATTGCGCATTATTAACTAACATCTTTTGCTTACAGGTATTTCTAAGCCATTTTCTGCTGTTCCAAAAGTCTAAAACCATAGGAGAAAATTAAAAAAAAAACGACGATACAACGTACTCAATATGCTCACCATTGGAAATAAGTCACTGTCTGACTTTTTTGGGTTATCCTAGGTTCTCTACACATATGCTGCTATGTATGATAATTCTATGTAACTGTATTTGTGTATACCTGAATAAACTTACTTACTTACTTATTATTGTTGCATGAACGCTGATAAGATATCCAGGCAACAAGAACGCGGCGAATAGTATTAGGAGTGATTATGTTACGGGTGTTGATGCGCTCTCGCAAATGTGCAACACCGAAATTTCTTTGCGCAGACTAACGCCTCTAAGTGAGCGAGATCGTGGCTCCTCGCCGGTCTCTCCACAGGCAACACCGCTATACAAGAGAGTGAGATCGTAGCTCCTCGCCGGTCTCTATACAAGCAACACCGCTATACAGGGGAGTGAGATTGTGGCTCCTCGCCGGCCTCTCCACAGGCAACACCGCTATACAAGGGAGTGAGATCGTGGCTCCTCGCCGGTCTCTCCCCAGGCAACACCGCTATACAAAGGAGTGAGATCGTGGCTCCTCGCCGGTCTCTCCACAGGCAACACCGCTATACAAGGGAGTGAGATCGTGGCTCCTCGCCGGTCTCCACACAGGCAACACCGCTATACAAGGGAGTGAGATCGTAGCTCCTCGCCGGTCTCTACACAGGCAACACCGCTATACAATGGAGTGTGATCGTGGCTCCTCGCCGGTCTCTCCCCAGGCAACACCGCTATACAAAGGAGTGAGATCGTGGCTCCTCGCCGGTCTCTCCACAGGCAACACCGCTATACAAGGGAGTGAGATCGTAGCTCCTCGCCGGTCTCTACACAGGCAACACCGCTATACAATGGAGTGAGATCGTAGCTCGTCGCCGGTCTCTCCCCAGGCAACACGACTCTGCCCTCTACTGCGCACCCTATATTTGTTGTGTGTATACGTTAGTAATTAACATTTTCCACTCGTATAACAACAGTCAACATGGTTTATAATATATATCAATGACCTTGACGAGGGAATTACTAGTGATATGAGCAAATTGGTTGACAGCAACCACCCAGGGAAGTACTACCGTCCTGCCAGATGACTGTGAAACAGAAACCTGTAACTGTTTTGCATGATGGTAGGATTGCTGGTGTCTTTTTCTGTCTCATAAACACGCTAGATAACAGGGATATCTTGCTACTCCAATTTACACTTTGGTCACACTTCACAGACACGCACATGCATATATATATACATACATCTAGGTTTTTCTCCTTTTTCTACATAGCTCTTGTTCTTCTTTATTTCTTCTATTGTCCATGGGGAAGTGGAAAAGAATCTTTCCTCCGTAAGCCATGCGTGTCGTATGAGGCGACTAAAATGCCGGGAGCAATGGGCTAGTAACCCCTTCTCCTGTAGACATTTACTAAAAAAGAGAAGAAGAAAAACTTTATAAAATTGGGATGCTTGAATGTGCGTGGATGTAGTGCAGATAACAAGAAACAGATGATTGCTGATGTTATGAATGAAAAGAAGTTGGATGTCCTGGCCCTAAGGGAAACAAAGCTGAAGGAGGTAGGGGAGTTTCGGTGGGGGGAAATAAATGGGATTAAATCTGGAGTATCAGAGAGTTAGAGCAAAGGAAGGGGTAGCAGTAATGTTGAATGATCAGTTATGGAAGGAGAAAAGAGAATATGAATGTGTAAATTCAAGAATTATGTGGATTAAAGTAAAGGTTGGATGCGAAAAGTGGGTCATAATAAGCGTGTATGCACCTGGAGAAGAGAGGAATGCAGAGGAGAGAGAGAGATTTAGGGAGATGTTAAGTGAATGTATAGGAGCCTTTGAACCAAGTGAGAGAGTAATTGTGGTAGGGGATCTGAATGCTAAAGTAGGAGAAACTTTTAGAGAGGGTGTGGTAGGTAAGTTTGGGGTGCCAGGTGTAAATGATAATGGGAGCCCTTTGATTGAACTTTGTATAGAAAGGGGTTTAGTTATAGGTAATACATATTTTAAGAAAAAGAGGATAAATAAGTATACAAGATATGATGTAGGGCGAAATGACAGTAGTTTGTTGGATTATGTATTGGTAGATAAAAGACTTGAGTAGACTTCAGGATGTACATGTTTATAGAGGGGCCACAGATATATCAGATCACTTTCTAGTTGTAGCTACACAGAGTAAAAGGTAGATGGGATACAAGGAGAATAGAAGCATCAGGGAAGAGAGAGGTGAAGGTTTATAAACTAAAAGAGGAGGCAGTTAGGGAAAGATATAAACAGCTATTGGAGGATAGATGGGCTAATGAGAGCATAGGCAATGGGGTCGAAGAGGTATGGGGTACGTTTAAAAATGTAGTGTTAGAGTGTTCAGCAGAAGTTTGTGGTTACAGGAAAGTGGGTGCAGGAGGGAAGAGGAGCGATTGGTGGAATGATGATGTAAAGAGAGTAGTAAGGGAGAAAAAGTTAGCATATGAGAAATTTTTACAAAGTAGAAGTGATGCAAGGAGGGAAGAGTATATGGAGAAAAAGAGAGAGGTTAAGAGAGTGGTGAAGCAATGTAAAAAGAGAGCAAATGAGAGAGTGGGTGAGATGTTATCAACAAATTTTGTTGAAAATAAGAAAAAGTTTTGGAGTGAGATTAACAAGTTAAGGAAGCCGAGAGAACAAATGGATTTGTCAGTTAAAAATAGGAGAGGAGAGTTATTAAATGGAGAGTTAGAGGTATGGGAAGATGGAGG